TTGATATATAAACTTGGACTGTATTCATGTCGGGAGATGGAAAGACGAGTAAGAAGCTAGAGCAAAGCAAGCGTTGTTAACAAAATTTGATCGAAGTGACAAAAAACAGCTCTAAAGCGTGCCACTCTTGGTGGCTAGGATCTCTAATCTCAGGCCAAATCGATGCCAATGAGCTGTGAGAGTACGTGGAGAGGTCGAAGATTGGCCGAGGTGAGAGAAGCTGCAAGGATTCGCCAACGCTTTGAACGAGCCCGTGAACCAGGAGGCGTGTGCGGGTGCGGCTCATCGCCAGCTGCTGGTGTATCGTTCAACATAAGATAAATGAGTGTATGTTGTTTGGACTCATTCCCTTCTTCACTGAACACCAGATGTTCTAGTCAAAGCTTTCGGATAGTCTCTGATGTTGTTCGCGTCGCGTTCCAAATATCGCGCGAATGGATGACGCGGCCAGCTACTCGCTTTTTCGCTATACATCATATTCTCACGCGGCCTACAACACGTTGCGCATATTGCGTTCAAACATATCTCTGTATCACCTAGATGTTGCGCATATATTCTATGCCACATGCGCTTCATATTTTTGAGTTATCCGCTTTTTTATGTCCTCTAGCGTCAAATTAACATCTCAGCTTACACACACAAAGAAATGCTAACAACACTGCTCAAATCAAAGCATACTGCTAAGTTTTATGTTTTCTTTCCAACTCGTTGAGATGGTGTTTTGTTTACTCAAATGGTTTTATCTGTGTCATCCAACAATTTTGCTTCTATCTGTGGCAGCAAAAGTATGTATTGCTGCTATTTGCTACATATGCATATTCATGGGTTTCCTTTCAATCTATCGAGTTGTAGCTGTTTCTTACCTCACCTATCTCCTACTTTTTTGTCTACTTTTTTTTGCTTTCGGGTTATTTCCTGGTCATCTCCCCTATACTAAATCTAACGCTTTGGCAGTTATCTTCTTCTGTTTCCATTTCAGATAACTCCCATCAATGCGATAAGTGGCTATCAGTCGCCTTCTTCGCCTTTCCATTTCACTCGCTAGTTCTTAATTTCGATTATGCCTGCCGGCAATGAGCGGTCAACATATTATAGCCCAGCGGTCAGTTACAATGGGATGCCTGCCATGACTATAGAGAAGTTTAGCTTTCAGATGGGCTTTTTATACATCTTCAACCTTATCGTTGGCACGGGAGCATTAGCGCTACCAAAAGCATTTCAAACGGCCGGTTATGCTCTCAGTGTACTAGTGCTTCTGATTTCAAGTATAGTAAGGTGAGGGAGTGGTGTGTTGAGCATCCCAGTTATGACACATTATAGAGGAATTTCTTCTTTAAGCTATATAGCGGCAACCTTCGTCATTGAAGCGCTTTCTGTAGGCAATGCTGTTCATGTTCGAAAACGAAGGCAAGAAATAGAGCCGACAATAGAGTACGATGGTAAATTTCCATTTTTTAAAAATTGCCCTTATCTTTTTCCTTCTTGCCAAAAGTGCTTGAAAGCGCAATATTATTTTTCAGCGACTGCGTACGATGCCTGATTTGAAGAAGTTGGCGTAAAAAAATGTTTCTTTTGCTACACGGGACTTGTGGGGCTAGAGCTTTCACATTACATCTTCGGTGCCGCGTTCTAAGCATTTCTATGTTTTTTCTTACCGTGAGAAGGGAAGGATTATTGAAGTAGTGTTGAGTTAAGCGCTACGCAAGGTGCCTTAATTTTTTTTGATTGGTTTGGAAAATAAGCAGTTTGCTTTTGCTGCAGAAACGCTATACATTAGCTTCTGTTCTAAATGCGCGTGAAAATCAAATTTATTTTGAGTAAACTTTGTATCCAGGCTTTTGTACGTGGTTATATGTTATGATTTTACCCTTCCTTTTATCAAGGTCGGGTTTTAATTTCAGATGTGGTTGTCACTGAAAGTGGTCCCTCTTCCTTTGAAATTAGCGAGAAGATTGAAGTCGTAGGTTTCTCTTCTGCCATCCTTAATGATGTACTCACATCCTTAGAATTCAATATCTGTTTGTAGAGTCAAATGGCTTCGATGTTTCTTGGCCGTGGTGGAGTTATCTTCAGCTATCTTGCATTGGATATCTACCTCTTTGGTGATCTCGCAATCTACTCCACTACCGTTTCTAAATCAATGATGAATATGATTTGGTAAGGCGTGAACGTACTTTCAATTTTTATCATCGTTTCTATTTTTTATCTACAGTGCATCTATAAACACTTCTACAGTTTTGTCGTCAGATCCGTGTCATGATTCATGGCATTTATTATCTGATCGCCTCACAGGTCTGGTCCTCATGATCATCAACTCAGATGATGTGTAGAATTTATCTGATTGTTTTCAGTCTATCGTGTATGCGTTCTTCTGTTCATATCGGTGTGCATCCCTATGATTATCATCGGAATCACTAAAACCAAGTATTTGCAATTGGCGACGACTTTGTCAAGGTGGTCAGGTATGATTGTTAACTTAAGCAAGAACTTTTATTGTGGTTACTACATTGCTTTGAAGAGGAGGTACGTAGGAAATGGATTGGCCCGTTCCTCTCATTTTGATTCTTCTTTCAACCGGTTTTTGCTTTTTCCCCTTATCAATCACATGCATTCAGCATTTATCCTCATGATTTTTCTTGCTTCGGCTCAGATGGTGACCAGCGGACCAACGGGAAATCCTCCAGTGGTTAACATCCACGGCTTTGGTTCTCTCTTTGGCGTAGCCGTATACGCTTTCATGTGTCACCACAGTATTCCGTCGCTAGTTACACCAATGAGGTATTTTTCGAGCCATATACTCATGTTTTATTGTTTAGTGATCTTTGAACTTCTTTAGATCAAAATCCGGGGTCTATGGAAAGCTTTTTTGCATATATCTTCTAGTCCTTTCTTTCTATTTCACTCTTTCTATTACTGGTTCGTTTGCATTTGCCCATGTACAGGTACGACGCATGTCATAATGTTGTATTATAATAAGCTGTCTTTTAAAAAAAGGTTGATTATTTTTAAGGACGTCTACACCCTTAACTTTCTTCACGATGATCTTACTTCGGCCTTCTATTTCATTTGCGATCATTTTCTCGCATTATTTCCTGTTTTTACGTTAACAACCAATTATCCGATTGTTGCAGTCACCCTCATTAATAATATTCGAGTGCTACGGGATTTGTTATTCCCTTCAGGAACCATGTGAGTTTACTAGTGATTTTGATAGTTTTTTTTTCGAGAAAGTTAACATAAAAGTGTCTAGGCCGTCAGAAGAAGAATCACTTCTAGAAGATGATGAAGAACGCGATCCCCGGCGTAGAAATGGTAATGCTCTGAAGGTAGGAATATCGAACCGTTTTCTTGTTTCATACTTGCTAATTTTTCCAAAAAAATATTCTAGGCTTCAGACGTTTTTATCCCGCTTTTTGTAATTGGCATTCCTACAGTTATCAGTTTGGTGACTGACAACGTTTTGATGCTAGCTACTGTCACAGGATCTTATCCTGATAAGTTTTTATGGATCTCCATCTTTTTTTT